ATTAAGTCCCATCTATAAACCTCCTCTTCTCCAGATGTATATAACTCACAAAGCAATTTCTCTGGTGATTAACTTTATAATTTTATTACCGATCTTTTCCTAGTTGAGCCCTATGTTCTGATAGGAGCTTGTGCTGGTACTCCAGGGGGCTGCCCTCCCCAGGGGTCCACCACGGCCAGCTGCAACAGCTTCTGACATTGGCCTGTTCCAGGAATTGATGGTACTCTGCAAGCACAGTCCTACAAAGCTATTCAAACCACTTAAAATTAGTCAAAACACTGAAGAAGGGAGCAGCTGATTTTCTTTATTTGTTTGCTTTTAAATCTGGAAGATTCTGAGCAGCCATATCTTCCTGCGAAGACAGCAAGCTGCTACTCGGTCCAGTCACCCTGCCGAGGCAGGAGGCATCCCAGAGATAAACAAATGCTCAAAACCTTCCTTAAAAACAAAACAAACGCCCAACAAGATCTTTGCCAAGAGGCTGTGGGTGTACATGCTATGGATGGAGATCAGGTTGGCAATGTTTAGAAAAGGATGTATAAAAAACCCAACAAACAACAAAATAGAAGAAATCACTTCCCCAAGGCAAGTCAGACCAACAACATGATGAAACATGTAAGATATGGTCATGAGTACTAATTAAAATGGGGTTCGCAGCAGTGGTGACTCTGGGCCAGTCTTGCACTTTTTCACTTTCCTACGTGGCACCAAGCAAAGGCAGAGGCTGCTCAGTGTTCAACAGTTCCTGCTCTTCCCTCAGCTCTAACAGCAGAAGATCTGGCCTCTGCTCCAGTTCAGTTTTCAAAGCAGTTCTTCAAATTCACAACAAAAACACACCTACTTCATTTGGATCGGGTGCAGTGACACAGACGCTTGAGGAAGCTTCTCACTGCATTAGCAGTAAGTTAGTACTATCCCTTTTCTGCCATTAAAGCATTGTTCTGTCCCATCATAGACCTGCTGGGAGATAAACTCAGCTGTGGTTCACCCCAGCATCACTGCCCAAGTAGTAGCCTGTTTCACACACTGCCAAGCAGGGGCGGAGGGATCCCCGCTGTGGTTTCCACTGCATTTAATAGTGCCTAATTAGTCTTATCACTGCAATCCACATATACAAAACCAGCCTTGGTTTGGTAAGATTAATAGCCACAGTAACCCAAAGGCAGTGGTTTTAGCTTCTCCACTGAGCTACCCTACACTTCTACCTTCTACCTTCAACAAAAACATCTTTGGCCACACAGTGAAGTAGATCACAGAACCAATCAGAATTAGAAGTTAACCCTGTACTGAGTCAGGTACAGGGCCCTTCAGCCCTGCATCCCATCTCCAACAGAGGATGCCAAGAATTACATAAAAATAGATCACATAGGGATGCTACCCATGAACACCTTCCCCTCTTCCAGAGAATTATTACTTAGAAAAACCTCTCAGTCATAAATGGGATCTTTGTACTTAAGCCTTTCATGTATTTTCTCTCTCACAGCATCGTACAGTTGCTTTTTGCACCTCTGTAATCACAACTTCATACAGATCTGGCAGAGAAAACCCCATTTCCTTGTTGCTCAGAGCCTGCCGTCCGCTCACTGAGGCACAGCCACTGACATCTGAACTATGTTATGCATATGAAGCTGAATTTGCATAAGATCTGACTGACTCTGGAAGATCAGAGCTACAATGGAAGCAGTGGTACCACCAGCTATGCTGCTTCTTTACACATTAGTGGAAACTTCAAGAAGGAAAAGAAAAGCTAAAGGATCGAGCTGAGCCTTTCTTCTTATTTATTCACTACAATTTTTCAAATTTCTCCTACTGAAAAAAAATAATAATCAGGCTACAGAAAATTTAAACTGTTAAAAATAAAATACAAAAAAAAATCTAAAAAGGGATTGGAAATTAACATCTAGGCTTATGGGAAAACTTACATCAAGCAGTCCAGAGGATAACATGCTTTTCTTGGATGTGGGAAACTCCAAATGAATTTAATTTGCTTTAAAAAAGCGACTGGCCATCATCCTCCACACCAAGGCCACAGAGTCAATCTCACGTGCTGTCTAAATACATTCATGTTTAATTTACACTAAAAGCAAAAAGTAAACGAGAAGTTTCAGCAGAAAAAACTCTTGGAATGCCTTAGAGATTAATAGAAAAAGCAACTCCTCATGAGGAGGGAAATGCAATTGCTGGTCTTCATGGCAATTAAGACAAACTGAACTCTTCTTTCCCCATATCCTCTAACCACATGACAGATGGGGACTCCCACTGCCTTCCTCTCCCAGCACTCAAGTCCCCCTGATAATCTAGCTTGAAAGGAAGAAAACAAGAGGTAGGATGAAGCCACAAAAGCACTCCATTTTAGAGATATTGCCAGCCCTTTTGGTAAAAACTACTTTGGCGAGTCAAGCCAAATTCGCAGGCAGCTGCTTGCCCACTTCAAAATGGCTGAAATGGCAAAGAAAATATAACTGAGAAATTCCATCAAGACTCTGAACAAACATGAAGGATTTTTTGGAAGACAAAAACCCCCAACTGTAAAGACATTACCACTCTTCCCTTAAAGTTTCCATCAGGGATTTCACAACCAGGAAATATGGGGTGAGGCACATGGCATTAAGCATTGATCCTACTGTCAAAGGTCTGAGAATTATTCAAGGATAATAGACGTGTCAGAAAAATTTAACTGGCCTAAAAGTCAGCTGAAGAACACTAGAATTTTATGAAAAATGAACACTTACTGGTATTTAAAAGCAGTCTTCTCTAAATCTTTATTCATAACAATTTTAAATTACTTGGTTTCTAAGACTGACTCTCCAATCAATCTCCAACACACCATAGAATCATAGAATGCTTAGGGTTGGAAAGGACCTTAAGATCAAGTTCCAACCCCCGTGCCATGGGCAGGGACACCTCACTCTAAACCACATCACCCAAGGCCTCATCCAACCTGGACTTGAACACTGCCAGGGATGGAGCATTCACAACCTCCTTGGGCAACCTATTCCAGTGCCTCACCACTCACTGGTTGGAGAGTCCTCAATGGGAGAGGAGCTGCTCAGATGTATTGGGTAAGCCCTCTAGAATTTGAAAAGCTGTGCTAGCTTGCATTTAACAGAAAGCTGGAAGAACTACAAAATACAACAGTAGGATGGGCAGAGCCATCTCTCAGGGCTCAGCTCCTCATTGATACACATCTGGAGAGACTGGGAGGAGAAAGGGCAGCCTTTCTACTTACCAAGGACCTACAGATACCAGCAAACCCATGACGCCTCTCTACCAGAGTGACTGAACAGAACCAAGCAATGACAAGCAAATGAAAACATATTTTCCTAAGCCTGAAAGAGGAAGGCAGCACATCCAGTTCACCTGCTAGCAGTGTACTGACACTGAGCTCCCCACTGAAATGGCAGTCTTTTAACAACATAAATAGATGCTGTATTCAGGGACTGGAGACATTTCAGTGCTGGTCATCAAAACCCCAAACTGCAGAAGAGAGGTTGGCAGGGACCTCCAGAGGTCTCTGGTCCAACTTCCTGCTCCAAGCAGGACTAACCACAGAGTCAGGTCACATTGCTCAAGGCCTTGCCCAGGCAACTTCAGAAGACCTTCCAGGATAGAGATGCCATCATCCCACTGGGCCCTGCCCCAGAGCACAAACACTCTCCTTGTGAAGAGTTTTCCCCACATCCAGCTGGACTCTCCTTCAGTGCAGACAGTACTGGTTAACTCTCATCCCTTCTTCACTGGGCACTCCTGACAAAAGTCTGGCTGCAGCTTCTATGCCAGTCCACCATAGAGGACAGTGGTTAGATGCCTCCTCAGCCTTCGTATCCCCAGACTAAAAACCACTCTGCCAGCCTCTCCTACATCACATGTCTTATAGATTCTCCTCCATTTTTCCTGCTTAAATAGTATTTATTCCCCGCAATACTCCAGTCATGGAAACTATCTCATTGTGTCTCCATAAATTCTACTGCTTTCTAATTGTCTCTTAATTGCTTCATAGGCTTCAGGTGTCAGTCCACAAGCACTCATGCAAGTGCGAGCATTCACAAAGGGAGTCTGTGCCTGGGAGACAGGATCCTGAACAGACACAGCACAGCAAACCACTACCAGAGAGACACTTTTACGGCAAAGAGACACAGAAGAGGACTACACTAAGGAGGGATTTGAAAGGTATGCCAGTGACCAAGTAATGAGACATTATTCCTTTGAATAAATACAAAATCCTTAGGTGGGACCGAGTTACGACTGAGGAGATAAAAAGCTCATTTTCTCATCTTTACTGAGGACAATTTCTGGTTTCAATTCTCTATAAAATTATAGAATGGTTTGGATTGGAAGGGACTTTAAAGATCGTCCAGTTCCAGCCCCCTGCCATGGGCAGGGACACTCTCCACTAGAGCAGGATGCTTAAACCCTTGTCCAGCCTGGCCTTGAACACTTTCAGGGATGGGACATGGACTCAGATTAGGCTTCTGCTCAGCAAATCTCTTGAGCAGCAAGCGAGCATCTCCTGCTTTTAGGAGTTGCAGAAAATGCATGGGGAAATGACAGCATGAGCTATTCTCCTTCCTCAGCACAGGTTAGAGGAAAGACGGAACATTACAAAGCACAGGGCTCTGTTTTTCACAGTGCATCTTTGCTGGGCAGTAGCATCATTAGCTGGTCCCTTCCCCCTTTCAAGTCACACAACTGCCTACTGCTTCAGAGCTCACAATTTACCATCTGTTCTTAATCTTCTCTTTGTACAAACAACACACTGCAACTACAACATCTTTTTATGCAACAATCGATAAGGCACGTAAGACCAAACAAGGAAATGGGCAGCAGGACATAGCCAAAAGTAATGGTACATCCTGCAGTGCTTCCTGTCATCTAACCACTGAAACTACAGAAAAACCCAAACACACTCTTTTGTCTGGAGCTTCGCAGCCATGTGAAAATAAACATATGGAAAAAATGAAAATGCAATTCAAAAATACAGGAAAGAATGTAAAACTTACCAGGCTCTAACTTGATTATTTTTACAGCAGCCAGTTCTCCTGTATGAAGATTTCTAGCCTGAAATAAGAGAATTAAAACATATTTAATCACACTGCAAAGATACCTCACAGAGTCTTACAAACTGTGAAAAGATACGTTATGATGTCGTGTGTTACACATATGGCACAATGCAATTAGGTGAGAGCAACCTGGGTGAGGATTGTCTGGTTTTGGTATTAGCACTGTACTGACCCATGTGGAGCTGTGAAGTGTTAGTGAGAGTTTGAGATTTTAAAAAACCCCAGATACCTGCCAGCAAATCGGAGTTCACGCCTCTCAAACACCATTTTTAAGGGATGTTGAAACTGAGAAGTTACTGCCATCCGTGCTTGCTGAGGTGGTACAAAAGCACCATGCAGCAACACAGACTGCCAGCATGCAATGCTCAACCCATCTCCTGGTGCTAAACCTCAGTGTCCTCTGAAAGTGGAACAGGTAGGTGGAGGGGCAGTGAGAATCACTGCAGATGCAGCATGGATGAGTCACAGCTCAGAGAGAACAGCTTAACTCTGAAAACAAACTCCTTCCAGCAGACCCTAACAGAGGCGAGTAGTCCCCATGACCCTCTAGAATAAGGGGTAGGGAGCTCCAATGAAGCCTTGACAGGGTATGCTGTCCTCTCTGGGTACACTGTAAGTTTCAAACTGAGAATTCAGTTCTGGAGGAAAATGTTACAGGAACCTCAGATTCAGAAATTTTAAAGAGGGAATTTCATTAACACTTGTAACTCAGTAAAACGAGCTTTAAATCACTTGGGCATCATCACCAGAGCTAAACTGCATTATTTCTGACACACAACTTGATCTAATTAGGCACTGTGGCATTCCCCTTTTCCTGATCATCTAGGAGTTACAGGACTCTAAACCAAACTCTGTCATTCTCACCCTGACAAACATGCAGTCTTTTGAATGTATGAAATCTGTTTAAGAGGTAGATTATAGAAAACCAAGGGAAAACTGGGTTAGGTGAAACTGATTTTGGGCAGTTACTTAAGACAAGGATGCAAACCAAATTTGACCCTCTGGACTGAAGTGAAGGAAGCCACTACAGAACAAACCACTCTGGTGGACGGACAAGAAGTCATCTTCATTTAACAACAGGTAAAGCAAGAACCTGAAAGATGAACCCTTTGTCAACACTTAGTCAAGCTTACAAATCAGGAAAGGCTTTCCAGCCAGGAAAAAACAAACCAACACCAACAGTAATTGGCCTTTCAAAGTCCTGTAGTGCTCAGCCAAGAGATGGGTGTCAAAATGCAGGCCCAAGACACCAACTATGACTCAACTGAAGTCAAAGAAAACCTGAAACAACTGTATAATAAAAACAGACATTTGAAGCAACAGACCAAATCACTGAACACAGAAACAGAAATCTGCTAACTACAAAGGAAACCTTCATCACTTCTTAAAGTACCTTCCTACTAGAAGTGTTTTTAGACCATGGCAAAATCATCAGTATCCTTCAACATCCAGAAGAAGCATGCATCCGAGCATGGGCAAAGGATTAGGACCTCTCTGGTACTGCCAAACCTGACAACACCATTATGAAACATTTGTTACTGTAAGGGACCAAGCACATAATCTACCCTGGTGAACCCAGAGAACCTCCACTATCCATGCTTCTGTTCACAAGCAGTTTAACTGTTCAGATAAAGGAGACTGCACACTTTCTAGAAGATCAGCTTCATTTCTTTAGTACAAAGACTGTATTCCTTACAGATATATTCCTTCCTTTTCTATATAAGCAATAACTGCCGCTGCTACTGTTATGCTGAAGCCTGAAGGAATGGATGTAGTCTGCCAAAGGTCTTTGATACACAGACTGCTTGGAAGGGATTTAAAGGTTGAGACCAGAGGAGATCACTGCAATTACTGGCTCTCAGCTCTCACACTTGATAGGCCATAGAGGCTGACCAAATTGCATCCTGCTGCTTTCTAATATTATCATTAAGTTCTTGCATATAATCTATAGCCTGGACATGGGCTATTTTGGGTTTCAGCCATTAAACTTTGCTGGAACACAAATCTCTTCACCAAGTTGGTATTTATGAACTAAACACATCCAGTTATCTGAACCACTTGCCCTAAGGTTCTACAGTGTAATCTTCCAACTGAACACATTCTTGAGTTAATGGCACCAAGACCACATGCACTGAATAACTCCTATCATGCCAGCATAAAAGGCAAAAGTTCTGACTATTTCATGATACTCAGTGTCCTTGCTTGGATGCTCACGTATACAGGAACTGTATTAGATCTTCAGTCTAGACAGTCATATTTCAAGTATGCTGCAAATGACCCAAACTGCTTTCCAAGAGACATCACCTGCCCACAGATGTCACTGATGGCTTTTGTTCCTTCATCTTAGAAGCACCAGCTTTACACAGGTACACACATATCTCTCTGCTCTAACTCTTGTTTTTTAAACTTTTCTCTTACACACCTTTGTCAGCTGAAAACCTGATCAATAATTAATTACTGTTACCTTGCACATCATTAAAAATGTAAGGTGATGGCTAAAAACTGATTCTCTGTGGTATGCACATAGATGTGAGAACTGTCACATAAGGATTCCTCAAATCATTTTGAGACACTAGTTAAAGACATTCTCAACTGATTTCCAATGGGTGGCTACAATTTGCATCATTCTACTATTTTAGGAAAGGATTGTGTAGTATCAAGGAAGTCATGGACAGAACTGCACTACATCAACATTGCTGGCTTTGTGAATCAAACCTGAAATTTTACTACAAATATCCAAATGAAACTGGGGGGGGAAACAACAACAACAAAAACCTTCATAATTTCCCTGATGTGAAGAATTAGTTAATGACCTACCAATTTGTTTTACCGAGAATACTGCTTTACGGGAGAGAGGGAAACTGATGTAAAGGTGAGAAATTATAGCTCTCCTAGTCAACTTGTTGACATTTTTAAAGCCCAACAGCAAAATATCTGCCCCCTTCCTGTCTCCTGAAGCTTCCTCAGTATTTCGAGTCTTCATTCAAAATTAGCTGAAACCAACCAGCAGCTAGAGGATGCCTGCACGTAATCCAGACCTAGCAATTAACAAGTGTAGCTTGCTGTAGATTAATACATGTTCTTCCGGCCCAGGCGCAATGTCAGTGGTGTGTCCCAGTACCACACTCAAAAAATGAGAGACGCACTGTTAGTAGGACAGGGGTTTTGAGGAGTTTAATGATACTACAACAAAGGAAGTCATCAGGTTTTTCCACTGAGACTTAGCTTTCTTCTCAGAACTGTATCAAAATGCTGTTGTGGGACAGTGGAATGCAACATGACACCTGTGGCCATCCCTGTGTAAAATGCTTCCCACTGCATAACCAAACAATTCACAGAAGTAAAGACATTTTAGGTAGGGCATTTTCTGTAGGCAATGACCAGAAATAACCCAGAGAGCTGGTTTCAGAACCAGTTAGGCACTCCGCAGTCTTCTTCTATTTATTTTTAAGAGTGCAAGCCAAACAGTTGTAGATCCCAGGGGATCTACAGTCCTAAGCCATGTGAGATGGTCAAAAACTGGAAGAATCGTTTCACTTGGACATCGGAATCTAAGTTTATGTGCTCAGCCTCTTTGTCCAGCCACTTTCCCCTTCAACACTGAGGAAGAGAAGGAGATTTAGATTACAGTACCACTCTCTCTGCCCCGAAGTTAGTATTTTCAAGTTCCATGATGAAAACCCCTCCTTGCCCTAATGTTTTGTCTGATCTCCAGTCTTGGATTAACAGCCCCGTTCACCAGAAGAGCCATTTGTTCAGCTGTGTCTTCATTTAATCCAATTGCAATTGCAGGTCCTGTGGCAACCCTCCAAGGCGTCCCCATTTTATTAATTCCTTGTCAAGCTCCGCTCATCAGTGCCCATGACATCTTACTGTTTCAAGTGCTTCTCAGTTTCTCTGTATACCTTCAAAAGGTACCCTGACCTCCTTCCCAGTGACTGAAATTTCTTTTTCCTCTGCTTTCTACTTTCTAATCTCTTAAACTTCGTAACTCTTAACTTGCTTTATGAGGTTTTAAAATTCCTGTTATGCTGTGTTCTTTCCATATCTCACAGTGCCATCAAACAGATCCTTATTTCAGATCTGAATTCACATCTATCACTGCCTAGAGCTCTCAGTCAACTGATGTGATCCAAAGAAATGTCTCTCACCTGGGCTGCTCTTAATCCATGAAAACAGATCCCTTTCTTACACACAGGAAGCACAGTAGGTACTTCAGTTGTGATTAAAAAAGAAGAATCCAAAATATTATGAGCATTATAGGGGAATAAAGATACCCGATAAGGACACTTGAACAAACCAAGACTACTGTACCTAGGTACCAGAAGGCAGGGGCACAGAGACCTTGAAACAATGGATGGGATCTTGAAGATGCTACCACAACCAGCCCATTTGTGGAGTAAAATAATCAAGCAACTGCCACAGCCATGAGTTCTTCCACATGAGGATTTGTGTTTCACTTCATCATGTAGTATCCCTCTCCCATATGATATAAACGCTCCCATAAACAAGCCGCATTCTTTCACGTAACACTGTTTCAATTTTTTATCCTACACTCAAACTGGTCATACATAAACATGAGACATTTCTGTGATGGAAGGACTTCTCCAGACAAGGCCCCTGATTCCCCACTGTTGTTCTCAGTGCACAATGAGAAACCTTCAAGACCAGCTCTGGGGTCTTCTCCTATGCTGCAGCCTCCACAAAGACCTGACATGAAGACAGAAGGTCCTCAGAGGACCTCAGTAACTCTAACATAAGTTTGGGGTGTTTCATCATTTGTTTGAGGTTTTTGTGAACACACAAACATCTATAAAAACCAGAACCCAAGAGCCAATATTTAGAAATCCAACAGGAATTGCCCAACTGAGTTAGATTTCTGATCCAACAACAATTTATCCCTCAAGTAAGCAGCAGCAAGTGATGTGTTAGGGAAAAATTTGATCTTGTTGGATTGTGACCTGCTGGCTAATAATGAAATTTTAATCACATCCTAAT